GTGTGTTTATTTAGTAGATGTTCCCCTTCACTTAGTATTTGCAGGTTTGGTTCACCATTATATTCCTACTACCGAGCACACAGTAAGCGTTCATTCATAACAATTTACAAAACAACAACAACAACAACAACAAAAAACACGCTAGGGCAGAGCTCCATTCCCACAGGGGTAAGAAAAGAGGCAGAATAATGTAGCATTTAAGAGACAGGCTCTGAAGACAACAGACTCAGAATCAAATTCTGGCTCGTCCGGTCAGGGAACCCTAAGTCAATCAATGAACTTCTCTGGGCCTTGGCTTCCCCATCTGCAACCCGGGATAATAAGAGCACACGCCTCACGGAGAGGTGGGGAGGGTTCAAACGGCCTGGGCCTACCTCGGCATCGCGGTTGAGGCGATACACGTAGAGCTGCGAGGTCCCAGCCACCACAAGGTTGCGCTCGCTGTTGTTGAAGAAGTTGCAGTACATGGAGAACTCGAGGCCAGTGGGCGGGTGCGCCTGTTTGTACACCGCGTACATGGCGGCCTGCGCGGGACCGGAAAAGGAAGGATGAACGGGTCCGCCAGCGCAGGACCCCTGGCCTGGCCTGGCCCGGCACCCCTCCCCGGCCTCGACCCGTCGCCCAGCTCACTGCCACCCACCCACCTGGCAGTTGGAGCCGACTCGAGGGGGACCGGGACCTCAGCGAACTCGGCCCGGCCGGGTCCGGAAACTGAGAGCTAAGGTTCCCGGCTCTTCCGCCTGCGCTGCTCCGCGGCGCCGGAGCGGCTGCAGGAGCGACAGCAGCCCCTGGTGGCCGGGGGTGGCGAGGCAGCCTCGCGGCTCCGCTCCTGGTTCGACGTCCCCAAATCCCCGACTCACTGAAATCCGAGGTCCCTGCTGCAGGCGGAGCATCGGGAGATTGGAAGCGGGGTGTGAGGCGCAGCGGCTCAGGGCGGGCTGGGCCAGGGGCTCGCCCTCCCCCAAGGACACAAGGAATTAGTTCCCCGCCTGACCCAGGCTGATCGCACGGAGAGGCGATTCTTTGCTTCTCCAAGCTGCCGTGTGCGAGGTGCAGTGCCAGGACAGGTTTTGGGGAGCCGGGAAGATTCGTCGTGTGGGAGTGGGAACAGATGCAAGCAAGGTGCGTTCAGTCACACGTGGACCAGCGCCGGAAAGAGGGGACGCAGCGCCCCGCGAGTGCCTGGGGTCCGGAGACGCTTACTAGAAAGACGACACGTCCGGTCTCTGCACCGTGTTATCGCGCAGAGGTACCCGCACCCAACACTGGCACGGAGGACTCACCACCTTGACGCTGCCTCCTAATCCTTCCTGGCACCCACGTGTCTCGCAAGGGCAACAATGACCGCCTTCTTGCTCACCACTCCCTCTTCAGGGTGAGGCCGCTGCTGGCTTCGAGGACGTTGGAGCCCAGACTAGGCGCAGGCCTGGGACTTAGAAACAGAATCAGAAATAAAACAAGAAGCCAGGCTCGGTAGCTCAGCCTGTAATCCCAGCACTTTGGGAGGTTGAGGTGAGTGGATTGCATGAGCCCGCGGGTTCGAGACCCGCCTGGGCAGCGAGACCTCA